TTAAGAATTCTGGGAGCACATGCCTCCTCAGGGTCAGATAAGTAAAATGCACTTTTGTTTATCTCCCTTCTTCACCCTTTTACTATTAATTCATTAAATAAACATATATCCTGCAGTTACTGAATTCCAAGAGCTATGCCAGACACTGCAAGCCCAGGAGACAAGAAAGACAAAAACACATGGTTAGCCAAGTAATGGGTAAAATCCGTAATGGCATATGAAGACTAGTTTCATGTGTCAGCTTGGTTCTGCCGAACCCTCAGAAACATTTGGTGGTAGACTGTTCACATCCCTGTGGCTGGCTACACACCCTGTGCATATGGGTAGCAGAAACTGACTCAGAGGTTATTAATAACAATAAAAAAGTAGAGGGTATGAAGTTGGGAGGAAGATGGGGTGGAAGGGGAAGTGGTGGGGCAGTGGTGGTGGGTAAATATAATCCATACACATTGTACAAATGTCTGAAACTTTCAAAGAACAAAAATATTATCTAAAATACTGATCAAAAATTATTCTGTATGTTTCTATGAAAGTATTTTTGAATGAGATTAGCATGATAATCATTGTACTTTGAGTAAAGAAGATGGCCTAATATCACGGGGGAAGTGGCTTATCCAGCAAGTTGATGGTCTTAGTAGAACAAAGACTGACCTCCCCCCTTTGAGAAGAAATTCTGCCAGAAGATGCCCATTTGGACTCTAACTGCAACTCCTCCTTGAATCTCCTGCCTGCTCACCTGTCCCACCAGATTTAGAAGCATTGCCTAACTCTACTATTGTAGTCAATTCCTTAAGATTTTCTCTCTCAAGTTGGGCATGGTGGCACATGCCTTTAATCCCAGAACTCAGGAGACAGAGGCAGGTGGATCTCTGTGAGATAGAGGCCAGTCTGATCTGCCTAGTGAGTTCCAGACCAGCTGGAGGTACAGAGAGATCCTGTCTCAAAAAGACCAAAAATAATTATTTCTCTTTCTCTCTGTTTCTCCCTCCCTCTTCCTCTGTTTCTCCATATATGTGTGTGAGCACACATATACACACCCTATTGGTTCTGTTTCTCTGGAGAACACTGACTAATATAGTATGTATAATTTTAAGCCCATTCCCCCAAATTATAGAAAAATCCATCACCTGAGTTGGATTTGGAGAACAGAATATTTCCTAAATCTTAACAGTTATAAACCTGGGAGCTAAGCAAAGGGGTCAATTTTTCTAAAACCAGGTCCATCAACCCACACAAATGTTTTGGAACTCCATAGATCTCTTCAAGAACGATTTGTAATTTTGTGTTTCCAGTTTGACAACCATTACAAATGTTAACAAAAGCATGCTGGGATCATCATCTGAATGTGAACCGTCCCCAACAGACTCGTGTTTGAATACTTGGTCCTTAGCTGGTAACACTGCTTTGGAAGGTTATGGAACCTTTAGATATAAATCCTAACTGGCAGATGTGGGGGCATATGAGGCAAGGCTAGACTCTTGTATCCAGGCTGAAGTTCTCTATGTCCTGCTTGGCACATGCAAAAAGCAGGTATCACAAGCTCCCACAGAACCACACATTGCTACACATTGCCTTGCCTTTCCTGCCATGATGGACAGTTATCTCTTCAACTCATGAGCCAAAGAAATCTTACTCCCCTCAAGCTTTTTCTGTTAGGTATTGGTAAAAGTGACAGAAAAGTACTTAATACATGAAATTAGCACTGAGAAATGAGGCCACTGCTGTGATAAACCTGACTGTGTGGTTCTTATGCCAGGAAGAATGTGGGAGAGTTGGGGTCCACAAGTTAGAGAAGCCCTGGAATGCTGTAGGCAGAGCAAAAAATAATGGGCCTTTAATGTGGGAGTGTGGAAGAGCAGAATACCACAGAGTTCTGAGCATAAATGTGCTGGTGAGGTTTCACACTGACGCCATTTGGAATGGGCTAGAGTTCATTTGTGTTTCACTCTGGCAAGGCATCTGACTGCATTCTGTCACGTCCTGAAATTTTTGAGCAAGGCTAGGTTCGAAAATAATAGATTGTTTGGCAGAGGAAATTTCAAGATAGCATAGCTATCGCATGGGGCTGTAAAGCCTTAGTTGTGGTGGAGAGCCCGGGATGTGCGAGAGGCCAGGCCCACAGAACATCTATGCAGGCAGAGTAGAGTCAGCCCTAGAGAGAGGTCACTTGTATTGCAGGTAGAACCTGTAGGAATGAGCTACCCAGGACCACTGGAATCCAGATGATGCCCCGTGCCCTGCCTTCTGAACACATTGTTTCCAGGTTTTCATTTGTTTTGTTGGTTTTCTGTCTCGTTTAGTGGGGTCTTTCCTTGTATACCCCATTCTCTCTTTTGGAATGGGAATGTTTACTCTATCTCATTGTATATTGAAACTGTGTGACTCACTGTTTTTATTTTACAGGGACTCACAGTTGAGAAACTGCCTCACAGTTGAGAAGTTGAGAGGAGACTGAACTAGGGACTTTTGCACAGCATCAGAACTGTAAAACTATGGGGTCTTTTGAAGTGGTACTGAATACATTCTGCATTATGAAATGGAAGAATGTTGTTTTAAAGGTCAAATGTCCCCCACAGGCTCATGTGTTTGAAAACTTGGTCTCTACCTGATGGCACTATTCTGAGAGCTTGTAGAACCCTTTTGACTCGGGGTCTAGCTGGCAGGCAAAGAGCCAGAAGAATGGGAAGAGAGGGTTACAGCTCAGCCCAGGTTCCAGCCCAAACTCTGCTTCCTGAACAATACCACATAACAAGCAGTGACCACCCACGCCTGCCACCATACAGTCATCTGCCACTGTTGCTTCACCACCATGAGCTAAAGTGCATCCTTCCTCCCTTAAGCTGTTTCTGTCAGGTGTTTGACCACAGTGGTGTGAAAATAATGAACATACCCAGATAACTGCACCACAACAGGGCTTTTTTTTTGTAACATCAGCATCTATAACAGCATTCATGTCTATGGTCAAGTTTGAAAGAAATCATATTAAAACAGGACCTACACACACACACCAAATATAAACAAAAAACCAGGACCTACAAATAGTGAGGTAAGTGAATACAGAAACGTCGCACACCCTGTGCTGCGATGTCCAATAGATTAAGAAAAGGAGAGGCATGTGCTTATTAAAAAACATGCAAAGATCTGTACATAACTGAAATGAGTAAGTTCTTTTTTAATATTTATTTTGATATTTTAATAATTTGAAAAAATGGTAGATTAGGACCAAACTCCTGTGCAGAGAGGAAGTAGCTCAGTGGCAGAGCACTTATCTAGCATGTGCAGAGCCCTGGGCTCCATTTCCAGCACTGCGAACAGACAATCAAAACACAGAAATCTTTTGCCTACAAATATCTAGAATGCTATATGAAAGCTAAGTAATTGAAAGTTGAAAGAAAATGGAGGAGGGAGAGAGAGAGAGAGAGAGAGAGAGAGAGAGAGAGAGAGAATGAATTAGAAATGAGAAAAAAAAAAATGAAGCCTGAGTTCTGGCAAGATTCTTGCTGGGCGAAGGCACTGAAAGCTAGAGGTTTGGTGTGATACTGAATAAACAGCCCCAAGATGTGGAAGCTGGAAACAAAGCTAACAGGTGAAGTCAGGTCTTGCAACTCTAGAGAAGTAGGAGGAAAACCTCCGTAGGAAGCATTTCCTGAGAGAAAGGAAAAGACCAGGAAGGGCTTGACGTCTTAAAGCTCCTGTTCACAAGGCCTAGGAAATTCCAACCCAGCAAATTAACACACACTTGCTTATTATGTGGGGGCACTTTGCAGAAGAAATGCAGATCCATTTTAGAAGGAATTTAATCACACTTTTGTTGCACAGAATAACCACTTGAAAATGTATAGTGTGTATTTAGTATGTGTGAGACCCAGGAGCAACCCTCGGGACTAAAGAGAGATGGAGGAAAACCTGAATAAAGGAGCTAACATAAAAGACTGCTGGAGAAAGTCAGTAGCTATACCAGAAGGACTCTGCCCTGCACCTACAGAGAGCAAACTAACAACCTGCAAACTGGGCTGGAAAAGTATGCCTAACTTGATTAAAGGCATTAAAAGCATAAAAAATGATACATGACAAAAGTAAACAGAAGTTCTAAAGAAGTTGAGAAAAGGATCCCAGACTGTATAAAAATATAAACTGAGAAAAATATAAACCATGAAATTATAAACCCAGTGAATGGGGTTTAAGAAAAAAAGAGAGAGAGATGCAACTGCAAAGAAACATTAATGATGTATGAGTAAATCGACCAGAATAGAGCCCCAAATAGAGAGCCATTCTAAAGGTTAGGTGAGGAAGTTAAGACACTCTTAAAATGAAAAGAATACAAATGTTCAATAACCATCCATTACGAACTCAAGAGAAAAGACAAAAGAATCAGGAGGCAGTACATGAACACCTATGCATTTCTCAAAGTCGACTACAGGTATGACTCCTCAGATGAAGAAATATTTTGAATCTTAATCAGAGTAAGTAAAATAACTAAGTCCCCTTTGATATGCCATTGCAAAACTAGAAAGAAAAAAGTCCTTAAAGTAATTGGAATTATTGTTCTAGAGTAAAACACACAAGTTGAAAAGGAAAATCAGATTGGCAAATCACTTTTCTATATAAAAGTAGAGGCCAGGAAACAATAGTATAATTTCTTTAAAGTGCTAGAAAGATGAATAATAAACTACCATTCAGTAGTGAGGGCACTAAAAGAAAACGTCTTTAGACAAGGATTGAAAAGGTTTGCCACTCACAAATCCCCAATGAAAGAAGAGCAGTTAAAATGTATAATTTAAGGAAGATTTTAAACTTCAAAAGAAATTGAAAACAATTGATGAGCCAAGTAATCGACAAGCATGTGCGTAAAGTTAAACAATAATTGACTGCATAAAATACTGCAAAATAACTATGAGGAGGGTGTGATTTTTAAGTGCTCTAAGATCTTTATATTTTAAATAAAATTGGTAACTGTATTGATTACTGTATACTTAGTCTGGTCAAATCGTGATTTTTTTTCTTGTCACACAGATTGAAGTAGAACAACACAAGTCGCTTCTTCATCCAAAAGCGATGTTCTTACTCTGCCCCTTCTTGATGGCTCAGTGGGTCACTAGCAAAAGGCTCACTGAGTGCTTTTAAAACGGGGATCAGATTCTGATTTTTAAAATTCAAAGATAGTGTCTTAGTTTATCTTCCTGTTGCTGTGACAACATATGCCAACAAAAGCAACCTAAGGGAGAAAGGGTTTGTTCAGCTCACAAGTTCCAGGTTACGGACCATCATGGTAGGGAAGTCACGGTGGCAGGAGCTTGAAAGAACTGTACGTACTGCATCTGCAGTCACTAGCAGATGCACGCATGCTAGTGCTCAGCTTCCCTCTCCATTTTACACAGTCCAGGATCCCTTGGTCTAGGAATGGTCTGCACACAAGTAAGATAGGACTTCTCACATCAATTAACTCAATTAAGACAATCCCTCACAGACATTCTCGGGGGCTAATCTTAAACTAGACAATGCGTCCCAGGTGTGCCCAGAGGTCTCTTCTTACATGTCAAGGTGACATTTAATACTGACCAGCACATCTTCATGAAAACCATCCATAAAAGCCTCTTTTGAGGGACTGGAGAAATGGTTCAGTGGTTAAGAACACTGGCTGCTCTTGAGAGACCCAGATTCTGCTGCCAGCACCCACATGATGGCTTAACCACCGTCCATAACTCCAGTTCCATGGGATCCAATGCCCTCTTCTGATTTCCCGGGGCATTGCACAACATGGGTATACTTACATACGTGCAGGCAAAACACTCGTACACATAAAATAAAAATAATAAAATATTTTAAAGCTTCTTTTATTTTAGAGACTACTTTAAATAGTAAATAGAGAATTATTTTTAAGTGGAAAATATAGCAAAAAGAAACAAAGGCAGGTAGTTAATGCAAAATGAGGTCAGAAGGGGTGAATCTTATATGCTAGTAATTTCAGTCAATATAAATGGATCAACTCGGCAGTAAACTCAGAAATTCTCGGATCAGACAAGTTTCATTCACAGGAACAGGAAACTGTGGAACAAAATAAATAATATTCATTATTTATGAATATTTATGCTACAGGAACCCAAAGTGTTGTTTAAGTAACTTGAAAACACAAAAGAAGAAAAGAAGAATAGGGGACACTCCATAATAAAAAAGACTTCAGTGGCAGGACAAACAAATTCAACGTACGGACCTTGTTTACAACCTGACTCAAACTACCAACGGTGAGAAGGCAGGAGAGAACTGCAGGAATGAAGTACATACTGACTATCACACAACACCAAAAGATTGTTATATCTTCAGATGTGAGTGGTGTTTTGTTATATTAGAAAGAAAATATGAGGCTGGAGAGATGACTCAGCAGTTAAAGGCACTTGCTGCTCTTCTGGAGAACCAGAGTGCGGCACGGGCAGCTCACAATCCCCTGAAACTCCAGCTCCAGGGGATCTGAAGCCCTCTCCTGACCTTCATGGACACTGGAGCACATGTGCACAGAGAGAGAGACAGAGACAGAGAGAGACAGAGAGACAGAGGCATAGACACATGCATACACATAAATAAATAATAAATCTTTTTTTAAAAGAAAGAAAATGCATTATTTAGGGATACATTGAAAGCACATTACAGTAAAGGGGTAAGATATGTGGAAAGTAGCATAAAGTACTTGTTCAGGGAAAACCAAACAAAAAGAAAATGAATCTCTTTAAAGGATTAAGGAAAGCAAATGTGATAAAATCTTGATAATTGATTAATCTGACTAATGAACACTTATGGGATTCACTGCATATATTCTCTACTTATGAATAAACATCTTTTGTTGAATATATTTTTTAAAGATTTTAGAGTAGCTGCCAACTGTTCTTAAAAAAACTAAATTAAAATGACAATTTTTAATAAAATAGAAAACAATAGATCCTATCAATGCTCACCAAGAGAAAGCTTGAATATCTATGCTTACATCAATCAACTAGATCTCAAAGCAAAAATGAAAAGCCAAGGGGAATAGAGAAACTAGTAAAAGAAACAAGGAGAAAAAATCTGAACTTGTAGTTGCCTAATACCATGGTCCCAAATACATACAATTTGGCAGCGTGCGAGGAGATGAAGAATCACGCAGCGTGGGAAAAGTTAAGGCACCACAATGAGTTGAACCGCTGCCCCTTCCAACATGAGCTCCCTCCTGACACCCGCCTTCTGTTGTAGTTTGGAGAAAGGGCTTTTTACACGTGTAATAGAAGATCTGTAGATGATATTTTGTATTATCTCAGGTGTGCGTGTTAGTGTGTGTAGGGGGTCGGGGTGGGGGTCTGAGTGTGGGTATGCACATCTGAGTGCAGGTGTCTGAGGAGGTCAGAGGCATCAAATGCCCTGGAGCTGGAGTTAAGGTGGTTGTGAGTGGCCTGACATGGGAACTGGAAACAGAATTGGGGTCCTCTGCAAGAGCAGTATGCACCCTTAACCGCTGAGCCATCTCTCCAGCCCTTGCTTTCTTATTTTATGTAGCAATGCAGTGTCATCCTATCTCAGCCTCCCAAGTGCTGAGACTGCAGCTGTGGTCTGCTAAGAACTATTCTTGTGATTCTTGTGTCTATGTGCATGCATGCATGTGTGTGCATGTTCTTGTGTGCCTGTGGGTGAGCACATGCATGTAGAGGCCAGAGGACAACCTCAAGTGTTGTTCCTCAGGTGCTGTTCATTTGTTTTGTTTTGTTTTGTTTTGTTTTGTTTTGTTTTGTTTGTTCTGAGGCAGGGTATCTCATTGGACTGAAACTCACCAAGTGGTCTAGGCTGGCTGGCCAGAGACCCACATTTTTTTACCTTCCCAGTACTGGGAATGCAAGTATGAACTACCACATCATTTATTTTTACATGGGTTCTGGAGATTAAGCCAGGTCCTTGTGGTAGCAAGGCAAGCAGGTTATCAACCGAGCTATTTCCCCAGCCCTAACAAGAATTCTTATGAGAGAAAAGGCACACATGCAGAAAGCCACGTGAAGAGGCAGCTACTGGAGTTTATGAGCCCAAGAATACCTTAAGGTACCAGAAAGTGAAGAGGGAAGAAAGTGCCTCCATTAGAGCCTCAGGGGAAGTTCAGAGATGCCTTCACCTTAATGTCACACGTCTGTCTTCAAGAACTTCAAGTCAGTAACTTTCTGTTGTTCTAAGCAACTCAAATTGTGAGAGTTTGCTATTGAAACCCTAGGAAACTAATAGACATATCTATCTCCGAAGTGGGTAAATCAAGCAAACAAACCAGAGCTATAGTTCCCTCCTCCCCTCCCATGAGCCTGGAGCTTTGGTCTCCAACTCCGAGTCATCGTTCACATTCCTCTGGTAGTGGGCTGATGGCAGAGCAGATTTGGGGTTGGAGGACTTCCCAATGTTGGGCAGCATTTTCTGAGTGACTGGATTCCCCCACAACATCCTCTTCTGAGGTCCCAGGTCATGCACGGCAGTGGCTTTGCCTCTGTGAGGCTTATGCTAGGCACAGGGGAGGTCTCTGTCATTTGCAGATTCTAGTCTTGGGAGGACTGATTCTCTAGAATGGACTTCCCACCTCCCTTGATGGCCAGCTGTGCTCTTGACTCCACATGTGGTCCTGGGCATCCAGGCCTCTCCCATTACCAGGAAACGAGGGGTTTTCCATTATTTTTCTATTATTCTTCTACAGCCCCAGTGTGCCTTCACCTGTGCCCTACAGATAATGTAAAACACCTCATTAAACTTCTAAAAATAAAAACCAGTCTGGGAAGTTTAAAAACAAAAGAGTACTATAGTAACTAAACTGATAGAATTAAAATTAAAAATACGCAATTGTATTTTAAAATTCAATTTGCAATTCTATACATCTACTATAATTTGAGTATTTTTTTACTGACAAAATTGTACCACCAAGCTTCAACAATACTGTGAAATTTATCACTGTTACCATAATCGGGATTTAGCTTTCATTCCCTTTCCAAATTCTCCAACCTATACAAGTTTTTCAATGTAATCATGCTATTTTTTTTAATGCTAATAAAATAAAATAAGTTAATAAAAATCAAAGATTTCAACAGTATAATTAGCCATTTTTTACCTAGTGGACATGTTTGCAATTCTACTCTCAATTATTTTCACATTCCTTTCATCTATATAAAGTTAAGTAATAGTATAGCCAAAAATAATTTGAGTTAACATTGCAGAACTGAAATCATTTTTTCTCTAAATGAGCAGGTGCATCATCCAAGTGTGAGGAAAATTAGCTTAGAACTTTCTGACCCTTCATTGTAGTGGAGACAGCCTGTCATCTTCTGCTTAAGAGAGAATGTAGTTCACTAATTAGCCACAAATAAACAACTGCATGCAGGCTCTTTGTTTTATCTATTTTGGATTATTCTTACAGGAACTCACATGTTCAAGGACACAATTCTATTGTCATTTCCAAGTCAGTGCTCGAGTTACCAGCCTTGTCATATTACTCCCAGGATAATTACTCTTAAAGTCAAGTCCCCGGAAGCAAGAAGGGTTTTGTTGTCACTGTTGCTGTTTTTCCTGGTGTTGATCAACCCTGAGGCTTCCTAAGTAAATACACAGAAAAGTAGCATGCTTAAATAACTTCAGCGTGAATCACATCATAGATTTTACATGCCTCTCCACTGAACAGGTTAACACACTGGACATCTAGGAAGGAGGGAAAAGTAAAGGCAATTTTCAGAAAAGAGTCACAGTTACCCTTCCTAGCTGATCCTGAAACAAAGGTCAGCAGTCAAAACCGAGCAATGTGATGGGCGATTGTGATGGTCTGTGCTGCCTTCTGCTTTCTCTGTAAATTACATTATTCAGTTCATTGTCTCCCCGGGGCAAGAACTGGGTATTTATTCATCCATCTATCGATCATCTATCTATCTATCATCTATCTATCTATCATCTATCTATCTATCTGTCTATCTAATCTGTTATAACTCTACTTAAATATGTAGTGCATATACAATTCCAGCTTGTACGAATATTAGATAGACTGTTCACACTTCTGCAACCCATTGTGACCCCTGACCCCTAGCAAATGAAGAAGACTTTTAGAAATGGACCTAGTCTGGAAAGAGAGATGTTTGTTCAGTGGAACATGAAGTG